GAATGCCCTATAGTGTTCACCAAAATTTTGATCATCACATTTCTAACACAAGCAAGGAAAAAAAAAAGAAATCTGTCCAACCCAAAGTTACTATTTTACTTTACAAGATCAATTAGAAAACAATGAATTTTTTTAGGTAGTGAATATTTCTAAATGGTTGTTTCTAGAGGCTCTTTTCTTTACTCTTCCCAGTAAATAAAATTAAATTTTTAATAATGAATTGTGTAACTTTTGTGCAGGAAAAACACACCCAACACAATAGAGAGATTCTGTAAAATGATGAAAAAAAAATCACACAATGAAACTATACAATAAGACCACATCTGGATATGCTGGTGTATTGCAGGATTTGGCCCCAAGTGATTATAAATCACTTTGCACGTAGTTGGGACATTTCTCCCCCTTGTTTTGAACAGTTTTGGCACTCAAGTAAAGTGAAAGAGGGTCTTAAGGTAGCTATCAAAACAGACATACATAAATGAATCAATTAAAAACAATCAATGGGATGACAGGAACCCTGCTTTCTATGGTCTTCAGAGGTGCCTGTCCTCATAACACCTAAGTTAATGAATTACTGAGAAAGAATACTTCCATTTTGTGATCTATATTACCTGAAAAAACCAACATGTGGGTAACTTGCACTCTTAATGCGAAGATTTTTTTTTGCTTTCAGAAAAAGTGTTGGTTCAGAAGCAAAAGAAGGTATTTCAGCTGCAGGAGTGAACTATCATCATGTGCCTAGTCTAAAAATAAGGATAACTCTTGAGAAAGAGTAGGAACATGAGAACAAATTTAACTGTGGAAAAAGGCCAAGGAAGAGGAACAGTAGTTTTAATGCAAAGTGACGGCCACAACTTCACAACAGATTATAAAATTCTTACTTAGTGGAATATAATGCTTTACAGGTGACTTGTTATGGTGGCCTTGTTAACCTCAAATATTCTGACAGGAATAAACAGCTTCCCCGACAGAACTTCATCCAAGTACAACTGATGATTTTTTCAGACTTCTGACAGAAACTGAAATAGTATCAACGCATAAACAGAAATCAATCTCCCACATGCAAGTTAATGAAATGAAGGAGCTACCCTTTCAAATAACACTGTCTGTCACTTGCTTCAATCTTTCAAATATGTATTTCATGACATTGCAATCTTTTAGAATTTCATTTTGTATTATTCTAATCAAAGTATCTTTGGGAAGATTCTATCACCCCCTTCCACATAGCGTAATAAAACAAAAATGCTTTTTGATAGCGTTTTGTTCTCACAAATATGTTACTGTATTGTGCATTTAAATGTATCCCTTTCTGTCTAAGAGAATGACCATGACTTTTAAATAAATAATAAAATAATAAAATAATAAATAAAGAATAACAAAATGGTATGAATTCATTGCAGTTTTTTCTTGTTTAAAAGGCTACAGCAGACCATTACAGAAATATTAGATCATTAGTGAAGTACTATGAACCAGACTGGTACTGTAAAGAACAGAAAAAAGCAAAAGCATTGCAGAAGTGTAAGTTAATGTCTGGTAGACCTAAACTAAGGCCAAGAGTTATATGACAATATAATAATGGTTAATAAATAACTAAAAACTTCTCACATGAGTGACACAAGTGTTTTGGTTCTTATTATTACACTCATGTTCTCTTTCTGTCCAAATTTTTATTTCTCATTCATATTATCTGACCACCTTTCCATACTGCAGCAATTTAAGCATCTGGAACACAAGTTTGATGAACTTCCACTGGGAAAAAAAAGATTCATATTTTAATGCAAATTGCAAGATGAGTTGGAGATGCAATTCAGGAAAGTCATGAGCTCCTAATCCCTTCTTCTTGCATGCTTCATATAATTTTATCCAATGACCATTTAATGTAAAATGCATAAACCTTTACCAAGAACAAAGATTAGAACTGTAGAATCTTGTGCCAGAGCAATGCCCTCATCACTTAACAGCTAACTATCTCTGGTTCCTCGAGTCATACGGGTAGCTACGTTGTGGGGAAGCTTTACCAGAAGGCTTATGTTCTCCTACAGGCCAGTTCAGAGCCCTTCAGTTAGGTCCTCTTCTGGAAGGAAGTATGTTTGGATTTGAATCCTTTAAAGTTGAAGGATGCACAGAATCCAGGTGGTCCACTGTGCACCAACCTCTAAACAAATTGTAAGTGTACAAATCATCTACTACATTTTAAAGAGTTTGGACACCAAAGGAACTATGGCACCATTTACATTCATGTCATACCCCTGCAAAGCTGCATATAGGAACTAAAGCATTCAACAATTTTTCAGAAACTCTTTAAAGTTTTCTACAACCATAATTTCTACAACCTGCAGATCAGATAGCTAGAATGACTCCTATTCCTGTGTGCCTTTCACTGGGTAAAAAGCATAGACATCTTGTTAGATTTGTGATATTCACTGAGGTATCCAAGTTGTTAAATTTAAGACATAGTAATAAAATTGTCATCATCTATATGGTCACATGAGCATTTTGGTTTGATTCAGGAGTGCATTTTTGAAATGAATCTTCTGATTACGCCCACCAACCATTCTTTGGTTTTCATTGTACAGTGTTACCAGAGCATATTTACTCTCAAATGACACTAAAACAGAAGATGCTGTTCACCTACCAGTGACTATGACTATTCAGTCCATAGGACTGCAGTATAGCTATAAAAAGTATAAAGCTATAAAGTAAAAGCCCCCAAAATACGCAGAATTGCTGGCACTGGGTCCCAGTGTCAACTGCTCTTCTCTGCAGATCTACTACTGTTATGTTGTAGTACTTGCTAATTTGGTCATACCCTATGTCTCTGAGGATTTGGTTCCATCATGAGTCTTTTCTCAGTGGAATGTGTAGATTGTTTTAGAAAAAGTTTGTCTTGCCGGAAAGCAAGTCCTCTGTCTTCAACATGAGGTATCCGTATATCCCAGAAAAAAATCACGGAAAGTTTTTTCTGCTTCTTTTTTACCTTTATTTTAGACTCCAATACTGTGTAGACATAGGAATCAATGACAGCATGATATGCTTTTGAATTTGTTCTTCAGTGAGGGTCTTGGCACTTATAATGAGGGATGGAGTGTAAGCCTGCAGTGATGCTGAAGGTCCCTGTTTTTACAGAGAGTTGTAGCTCAGTAAATACTTCTACCTCAAAACTGTATGTATATTTTCCCAAATTCACACAGTTTTGGAGAAAGTATAATGTATTTGCTTGTTAGGCCTTCTTGGTTAAAAATCTAGTGGGAAATATAAACAGGATTTCTGCATGTGACAAGATAACAGGAAACTTTGAAAACAGGAAATCCTCAAGGTACAGGAAGAGAAGTAGCGTGCAAGCATTTTTCTCTCAACCAGCAGACTACTTACTTTTCAAAATTATTTTTGCAAAATAGAGTGCTTTATTTTTCTGGAAGAAAAGAAAATAATAAATCTATGAACCATCTGGTATCACAGTTGATCTGTACGTGCAGCCAGACAGTGAACTATGATTACATATAGACAATGAAGAAATGGGAACCAGATCCTGATTATGCTTACCATGAGGCACTAACCTGTACCTTCCAGCTCTGTAATTTTTGCATACTTTCTTCTGGAACACTCACTGTTGTCTTATGGAGTAATGAACCACTATAAAGCTCTCATGAACCACAGAATAATACAGATTTAAATCACAGAATCACTAGGTTGGAAAGGACCTTCAAGATCATCAAGTCCAACCATTAATCCAGCGCCACCAAGTCCCCTAAACTATGTCCTTAAGTGCCACATCCGCACGTTTTTTGAACACTTCCAGAGATGGTGACTCCACCACCTCCCTGGGCAGCCTGGTCCAATGCCTGACCACCCTCTCAGTGAAGAAATTTTTCCTAATATCCAATCTAAACCTCCCCTGGTGCAACTTGAGGCCATTTCCTCTTGTCCTATCGCTAGTTACTTGGGCGAAGAGGCAACACCCTATTACATATTGTGTTAAAAAATAGGACAGAAATAAGCATACCTAGGTTTCACACAAAATGTCACACTTTTAAGAATATCCATAGAACTGGTCTAAGATTATTGTATTACTTAAAAATAATTGAATCCATACAGTTACAATTCACATTTAAAAAATAAAATCCAGCCCTCATCAAAAGAAAAAAGCCTATTCTGATGAATTATTTTAAATCAAAGCTATCAATTCAAACGAACTCATTAACCACTTACATATTCTAAAATATTCTGTATGTATAGTCCTAAAATGTACTTTTGTGTAAAGTGCTAGTTGATTATTACATTCCACACCTAAATAAATTCATTTTGGTATGAAACAAAAACAAGAGAATATATTCCAGATAAAACAAAATGAACAACAGATACAGAAATGCATTCTAATTGTTTATCATAGAAAACTTACATCTAGTAGCGTGTGAAGATGCTGATCCTGGAAAACACTGTGAAGAAAATCTAAGTCTTTTTCACTGCAGTCTGTAAGTGCATGAATTTCTTCCAGACTGTCCAGCACCTGTGAGACTGCTCCTATGGGGCAATAAACAGGAAAAAAAAGAATAAAAATCAATAAAGCAAAGACTCATGGTACACTGAACTTCAGAAAAGGAAACTTTCACTTCATCTAGTACAACTGGAACAGGAACTTTAAAAAGCTGGAGCTTTTACAGGAAAACTCACTGAATAAACTTTACGTATATCAACAGTGCCCATATATAGTGGAATTATACATAAGAAATGGTTTAACTGAAGAGAGGTTAAAACCTGTTTTTATTAAGCTTAGCTTTGTTTTATTTTAGCCTGGTTTCCAATGATGTTTTGCAAAGTTAATTGGATCAACAGCCTGTCCTCACCATTCTTACCCAACCATCTCTTTTTTCACTTTTTGAACTGCTGACCAATTTCAAATACATATCCCAAATCAGTAAAAATTAGAAAGAACCAACGCTCTCACAAATTCTTTTAAAATCAGCATCTGCATAGAGGAGGGAAGAGAGAGAAAGACTTGACTGCTGTGTCCTCCAGAGGAGAAAAAAAGGCTGCAACATGAGCTCTGTTTTTTGTTCTGCTTGTCTGGTTGTGTCAGATCCAGTTAGAGCACTTGCTGCCTTTTGACCAGTGGATTGTTTTGGGTCATAGGAAGATGGATATGATTTTTATATGGCATAAAGGTGAAAAGAGAAGTGAGGGATACGGGGACAAAAAGAAGAAACAGAAGGTGGAAGTCCATGAGAAGAATTGAACTCACAGCAGGGGAGGATACAGAAACACAACACAAATCCATAGTAAACCAGCCCATATTAGTTCCTCATGGAACAACTTGTTTTAAAAATAAGATATCAATGGTGGCTGCCACCTGTATGCATTACTAGAATGTTAACTTTGGCTTATCTAACACGCACAGCCCATGTCTTCTGTCTTTCCACAGTGGTATAAGCATCTGGAAAGATGGCAGCATATCCAGTGTTAGTCTGCAAAAATACTGGTGTCTGACAGTGAACTGCCGAATGCTTTTTCAGAAATAAATTCTTAATTCTGGATATAAAATTCTACACATTCTGTATTTCACTAATTTCTCCTTAACACCTTTATTCTGTTTACTTATTCATTTGCCAGTGTCTTTTTGTCAAGATGGATAGTATTTTAAAAATTGTTGTATTTCTTGAAATTCCATCCTCCAATGTATGAACAATTCTTACCAGCCTTCCTTAACTCAAGCCCTTTTGTAATCTATTGCATTTTCAGAACATAGTAAAACAAAAACCCCAATTTCCTCTTAATGACACAAGGAAACAAGTTAAATTCACTTATTTCTCTGGAAAACCTTGAAAAACTGGAATAAACATAAAAAAATACACAAAAACCACTATACAAGACTTGTGACCTCATGGCTTAGAAGGACCAGTAAGTCTAGAAACAAACAAGTCTAGAAACTCTTGCATCACTTTTAGTACAAATCTCAACCTAGGATTTGCCTCACAGTTCCTTGTAGACCAAGGTCAAGAACCACAGTAGTCTCCTCACTCACAACGCATGGCTCAGGAGCAAGAAGACTTCTTAGTCCTCGCCCATTAAATGTGTCTGACAACTTATTTCCGACTGATGTATTAATTTATGTTCCTTTAAAAAAGTGGTGGCTAGTGAGCAAATAAAACTAATGGTTTGCCATATTGTAGCTGCAGCTCATGGCATCAGGTGCACTGAAGAACAGAAAAAACGGCTCCATCTTTGATAAGGAATAAGCATACTCAGCTGGAAGGAACTGTACTCTTCTGCCTACACCACAGCTTCCACACTGGGAGACATGGCAGGAAACCTGAGAAAATACAGAGACTGGGAATTTGCTGGGAAGAGCATGGAGAGATCACAGCTAGGCCTCAAAGGCAAGGAAGAAAAACATTATCTAGGGACCCAAAAGGGACTGCACTGAGTTTCTTTTAACATTTTCAGTATGTCAATTAAAGGTTGATGAGAGACCTTCAAGCGCGAAGGAAAGTGCTTGACTTTCCAGGATGCAGTTGGCAGAAGGAATTTTTTTAGAATTCTCTTGTATTTCTATTCTGGTCATGCTCAGAATTTAAATTAATTATTTTCTTTTCTAGCAAAACTTCAGTTTCTGGGTTCAAAGCCCTTTCTGTGTATTTGGAGTGTTTACTTTAAGGAAAACTCAAGAGAAGATTCACTTCAGAGGCCTGGATATCTTAAGAGTCTCTAATGCTGCTCAGTGTTGCTCATAACCACTAAAACTGGAGCCAAAACCAGGGCCATTGAGAACCATGTTCAAAGTTGTCTGCAGATTTGTCTTATTGTGAAACACTGAATGCTCTGGACCACCACATCAGTTACTGTGGGAATTAACTTTGGACAGTATTATTTACTTTGAGAATTTTATTTTGTGGGATACTTTGAGGTCTTTCAAATAGAAGTAAAAGTTACTATTTTTTAATATTTGCATCTCAGCAACCTTTTGAATACCTGAGAATTCCAAAACACTAAGCTTTGTTCATTAGGTCTTTTTTCTCCTGTCCATTGGTTGCATTGAACAGATGGCTATAAAAGAAAGTTTCCAAGAATATCCTTAAAAAATTTAATGAGAAGTTCTGACAGTGACTTTGTTAATCCCTCAAAACCACAGTTCTACCTTATGGTTTTTTTACCTACAACCTTATGCTGTACCTACTGCCATGTCTTTCACGCATTTACAACCAATATGCACCTGCATGAGAAAATGGCACAATAGCAACATACTAACAGCATAATAGCACAAAAATTGATAGAACAATTCTACAGGCATTTTTGTGAACACCTAAACTCTTTCTGTTACAGACATCTGGTTAAAAGCCTAAAAGTACCTTTCAGAAGAGTTTTAAATTCAGCTAAAAGATACTACATAAAATAAAATTAACCAATCTTTACAGCACCTTGTCATAAAAAGATTCATACTCTATCATATTTAAGCTGAATTTCTAACCTTTGGGTAAAGTCTAAAAGCACTCAGTATTTATAATTAAAGGTTGTATCCTCTAGAAATAGGATTTAATCTCTTTTCATCATTGCAAATGCACCCATTTTAGCCTCAGCATAGATGATAAAGGAAGGACTTAAGTGAGTTATTATACAGCCAATATAACCTAAGGCTCAGATTTCTCATAGTCTGTAGCAGTTACAGACAGAATCTATAAACATAAAAATTAGAATGATGCATAAATATTACGAGGCCAGGAAAAAAAATGAAGTTGACTACATTGATTGGCTTGCTTTGTTTGTTTTGTAAGGCTCCCTAAAGTAAACTTTGTTAGAAAAATCATAGAATGGTTTGGTTCTGAAGGGACCTTAAACATAATCTAGTTCCAACCCCCCTGCCATGGGCAGGGACACATTCCGCTAGACCTGGTTGCTCAAAGCTCCATCCAACCTGGCCTTGAACACTTCCACGGATGGGGCATTCACAACTTCTGGGCAACCTGTTCCAGTGCCTCACCCTCATAGTGAAGAATTTCTTCCTTATATCAGCAGGAGTAGGGAAGTGATCGTGCCCCTGTACTCGGCACTGGTGAGGCCGCACCTCGAATCCTGTGTTCAGTTTTGGGCCCCTCACTACAAGAAGGACATTGAGGTGCTGGAGCGTGTCCAGAGAAGGGCAACGAAGCTGGTGAGGGGTCTGGAGCACAAGTCTTATGGGGAGTGGCTGAGGGAACTGGGGTTGTTCAGTCTGGAGAAGAGGAGGCTGAGGGGAGACCTTATCGCTCTCTACAGCTACCTGAAAGGGGGTTGTGGCGACGAGGGTGTTGGCCTCTTCTCCCAAGTAACCAGCAATAGGACGAGAGGAAATGGCCTCAATTTACGCCAGGGGAGGTTTAGATTGGATATTAGGAAAAATTTCTTCACTGAGAGAGTGGTCAGGCATTGGAACAGGCTGCCCAGGGAGGTGGTGCAGTTGCCATCTCTAGACGTGTTCAAAAAAACGTGTGGATGTGGTGCTTCAGGACATGGTTTAGGGAACATGGTGGCCGCTGGATTAATGGTTGGACTTGATGATCTTGAAGGTCCTTTCCAACCTTAGTGATTCTGTGATTCTGTAAATCTACCCTCTTTCAGTTTAAAGCCATCACCCCTCCTCCTATCACTACATGCCCTTGTAAAAAGTCCCTCGCCAGCTTTCTTGTAGGCCTGCTTCAGGTACTGGAAGGCTGCTATAAGGTGTCCCTGGAGCCTTCTCTTCTGCAGGTTTAACAACCCCAACTCTCCCAGCCTGTCTTCACAGGAGAGGTGCTCTCTGACCATCTTCGTGGCCGTCCTCTGGACATACTCCAACAGGTCTGTGTCCTTCTTATAGTGGGGGCCCAAGAGCTGAACACAGTACTGAACACAGGTGGGATCTCACCTGAGGAGAGTAGAGGGGGGAGAATCACCTCCCTTGGCCTGCTGGTCATGCTTCTTTTGATGCAGCCCAGGATACGGTTGGCCTTCTGGGCTGCAAGAGCACATACTAATGGTCATGTTGAGCTTCTCAACAACCAACACCCCCAAGTCCTTCTCCTCAGGGCTGCTCTCAATCCATTCTCCACCCAGCCTGTATTTGTGCTTGGGATTACCATGAGCCATGTGCAGGACCCTGCACTTGGCCTTGTTGACTTCATGAGGTTCACACGGGCCCACATCTCGAGCCTGTCAAGGTCCCTCTGGATGGCATCCCTTCCCTCCAGTGTGTTGACCACGCGACACAGCTTGGTGTCATTGGCAAACTTGCTGAGGGTGCACTCGATCCTACTGTCCATGTTGCTGACAAAGATGTTAAACAGCACCGGTCCCAATACCAACCTCTGAGGAGCACCACTTGCCACTGGTCTCCATAAAAAATGCTGCTTACTGCCACAGAACTTTCAAGTAGCCCCAACCACTTAGGTGAGATGAATCTCACCCTGCACCTTAAGTTACTATAAAAATATATACACATACGATTGTGCAGGAAAGGTTGTAATTCCAGTGATACAACTAGAATACTCTTCTCCACAGTAATAGTAACAAAA